AGAGGGTGGGGGTAAGAATAATTGAATAGTTACCTTCAAGCAGCACAGTAACCCAGAATAACAAAATACAGGACCTAGATTCAAACCACAGATGTCTTCATTTGTTGATTCAGGAAAGGAACCAGATGTTTTCATCATGCATTAAGAATCTGGGCATTGCTGTAAACTATTATACGGTGTATCGTGCGTTCCAACAATCTGTCTCACCTTGTTTAGACTAGGAAGGGAAAGAGGGTTGCATTTGACTAGTAGCTGGGTGGAGAAGCTCTAGAGCCATGATGGCAAACCTATGGCACGCCTACCGCAGGTGGCACACAGAGCTATTTGTGTGGGCACACGAGCCCCAGCCAAACTTAATTTGCACTGTGCATGCACGCGCCTCCCAGCTGATCTTCAGCCCGTTTGAGGCTGTTTTTGCCCTCCCAAAGGCTCAAGGGAAGCCTCTGCGGCCTCGGGAGGCCGAAAAACGGGCCTTCCGGAAATACCGGATGTGCCGAAACGGGCCCGTTTTCAGCCTCTCAGGGCTCCAGAGGCTTCCCTTGAGCCTTTGGGAGGGCAAAAACAGCCTCAAATGGGCAGAAAATCGGCTGGGAGGCATGCGTATGCGCACTGCAAGTAAGGGGTTGGGGCGGGGGTATTGCACGTGCATACACAGTGTGTGTGTGCGCATTGCATTGTGGGTGCTGGCGCACGTTTTTGGCACACAGCAAAAAGATTCGTTATCACTGCTCTTGAGAATCTCAAAGCTGGCTTGAGGAATTCTGGGTGTTGAGGTCCACAAGTCTTTTAAGTTGCCAATTGGGAGACCCTTCTGTAGACCATAGTAGAAAATCAGTCAAAATCCAGAAGAAAATAAACCCAGTCACTTTCATACAGACCTTGAATCCAAGGAGAGGACTCTTGTATACCATGCTATTATGAATAGTGTTGTGCTTATGTTTCATTGTGTTTTGTGAACTCAGATTCTGCAGCTAAACTACTATATTGTAAATCTTGGCTTGGCCAGTCATGTATAACTATAAAGTGTATTGAATTTTAAGTTTTTTTTTATTGTTTGGGGGTCACCCAGGGTTATGCTGCCTAAGGTGGATGGCTATATAAATCAAGTAAATATTATTTGTGATGTATATAGATGGCCTTTAAAAGGCAGGAAAGATGTATTAAGCTGGCTGGGTTTGTATATTCCACTAAGTGATTATTTAATCTCAGTTTACTGACTAAAGCAATTCTGCCTTGATTGATGCACTGGGCTAAACCATGAATCAAGATTCATAAATTAAATGTCTGGTTGAGATATTTTGTGTGTGTTTTTTAATACATCTGTAACAAAGCTGTTATCATTAAAGATATATCCAAATGCAGGAAGTCTTCAACTGTAAAGGACTTAAAGAGAAAATATTTGACTTGTAAAACATAGTGGTTTACTAGGATTGCTTTCACTTGTGACTTTTCATATATTGGTTTCCATTGGTAAGATAATAACAAGATGTCAAGTCAGCATCAAATATTTTTCTGATTGCTGTAAGCCACTCATTGTAGCCCCATGCTGAGATGGATGGCAAATAAATTTAGCAAATAAATAAATAAATTTTGGCAACCCACAGTAACAAATGTATATTTTTGAAACTGGGATATTTACAATGTTTGAAATTACAGTGACACTTAGCACTCATATTTCAGGCCGTAAACACTTCATAGGCCCTTACTGAGCAAGCTGCATCCATTCCAAAGCTGTTTCTTGAAATCTATTCAGTTCTACTTGCAGCATAAATTATTACTGCAGGGGGATATAAGGAATAAATCATCTGAAGTTGAGATTTTTTTTTTAATTTGAAGGGCTATTTACTGCAGATAATTCTTGCAATCATTGCTTACATCCATTGTTCTCTTTTGCTGCTCCAGACGGGCAATCTGTTAAACCACTTCCTTCAGTGAGAAAAAAGCAACTCAGTTAAAATCCTACATTTAATTCCGTCTATACCCTCCTTTTCCATTCTTGTATGTGCTCCGTCTACAATTTATTTTCTTTACAAAATTCCGAAGCACTTTTTTAAAAAAGAAATCCCTGCAGGATTGACTCTGAATGGGCATAGTGGGTCAGATACTGTGCTACGCAGGTTTATGGTTTTGAGAGTAGGGCAATGTAAACAAACACACAACTTGTTATCTCTCTGGATTTTTAACACACCACGCTCCAAACACAACTTTGCCTGTGCGACAATCAAGAGGGAAAAGGAAAGAGGAGACAATTGGGAAGGGAATTGGTTAATGGGTAAGGCAAGAGACACGTTAGCATTCTAATCCCTAGGTTTAAAGCAAAATTGCGCATCTGGAATCTTAATGCTGTTTAAGTAGCCTCAAAAATGTTGGGACTCCTTCCAAAACTGCCACATAATTAATGGGGAAGAAGAAAATTATGAAGTCATAAAGCAGTGAGTAGTGTAGGTTAATGAATGGATTTTGGCCCTCTGTGCTCATTTGGGGCAGTGTGACAACTGGAGATCCAACAACTTTATAAAGGAAATAGCCCCCTAACAGGCATTTAAGGACTTTGGAAATACTTTATAGCTCAGGGGTACCCAAACTTGGCAAGTTTAAAACTTGTAGACTTCAACTCCCAGAATTCCTCAGCCAGCTATGTTGGCTGAGGAATATTGGGAGTTAAAGTCTACAAGTCTTAAAGTTGCCAAGTTTGGAGACCTCTGATAAAGCTTTTCATGACTCTGCTTGGATTCAGGAGTGAAGGTTGAGTGTTTGACAATGGTTTAAGCCAGGGATCTCCAACCTTGGCAACTTTTAAGACTTGTGGTCTTCAGCTCCCAGAATTCTGCAGTCAGCATGAATTCTGAAACTTGAAGTCCACAAGTTTTCAAGTTGCCAAGCTTGGAAATCCCTGGTCTAAGCTACTTTCTGCAATCTTGGGAGATCCAAATTGTTTAGGAATTTGTTCATTGTAATGGTGAGAGATCTTAATGGTGGGTAATTTACTTTTCGCAAGCAAAATGAATCATGTAATTCTGTGGCCAAGTAGATGTGAAATTCATATTTCACCTGCACAACAATCTTGTGGGTTTGCCTCCCTCCATTCATGACAAATTCAGTCTGGATCAGGACTTTAACATCTGGCTGTGGGAAAAGAGAACCTCACAACTTCTTTAATCAACATCATTCCCTTCCCCCCTACAGAAAAAAGGAATCAAGGACACTAATTTGTATTTTGTTAAGGTAAAAGGTAGCCAATGTCATTAAAACACTAAAGGACAGACTAAATGTTCCATCCGACTCATGTTAAGGTGCTGGTCCTAGCAAGCCCTTTCTATGGTTCACACAAATGGAAAGATGCTCAGATTCTGATGAATAAGGATTCTAGCTTAGGTTGACATAGCATCTAGAGACACCCATTGTGATGTTTTATTTTGTTTTAAAAAATTGCTATTTTTTGTTTTGTTTTGCTTTACAATCAGTCCTGACTCCTGGTAACTACAGAGCAAGTCCATGAAGTTTTCTAGACAACATTTTTGGAAGTGGTTTTTCTTTGTCTTTTTTTTTTTTTAAACCTTTTGTTTCTATTGCAATTTTCACAAATACAAATCACATTTATATTTGTAACAGCGTTTTGGCATCGACAAATACATATATCTTATATATCTTATTATTACACATCTACTTTAATAATCTTTTAATAATCCATTCTTCCTAATCTGAACACCTATTTTTATATACACATTTAGATTTGCATCACTTAAGGTCTCTTGCTTTATAACAATAATCAATTCTTCCTAATCTTTATACCTATTTTTTAACCACTCATACCATTTATCCCATATTAGATAATATTCAGAATCTTCCTTGTCTTTCATTTCTAGTCCATTCCAATATTTTTTTGTATGACTAATTCTTCTGAAGGAGTGTTAGCTCCTTTCCATAATTGCACAAAAGCTATTCTGGCTGTTGTCAAAATATGTAATATAATATATTTAATATTTTTTAGAGTATTGGCCTGTAATTATACCTAATAAAAAGAACTCCGGTTGAGTTCAATTTGATGCTTGGTGATCTCTTGCAGCCAGTTCTTTATTTTAACCCAATATTTCCTGGTCTCGGAGCACAACCACCATTCTTTGTCTTACTTAGGGGCTGAGAGGGGGAATGGCCCAAAGTCAGTTAGGCAAAACTAGACCCCAGATTTCTCTGTTCTTGTCCATCACCTTCCCACCTCATTATAAAGAAGGAAACTGGATAAAGCGCTCTCGTGTAAACCTACAGGGGTATCTTGGTACTCATCAAAATTGGTACTTAATATATTTTGTCATGAAAATTTTGTCCCATTACTCGGTTTGTTTGGCACTCGAAACACAAGCTAGATATCAGGGTTCCAGCAATTGCCCTAATTAAATCATGAGCCTCGGGCCAAGCTCCAAAAGAATTCAAAAGATTTAACCTAAATGAAGTCAACTCTGGCATGTGTAATTTACAGTCACCTGTAACTCTGTTTCCCCCCCTCCCCCCTGGATGTATCATAAATCAGATTCTCCAATGAAGTACGTTCATGGGCTGGGTGTCATCAATCACGTTTTCCAATAAAGGATTTTCGGGGGCAGAAGATCCGGTAGCCTAGCTACAATCTTTTTAAGATAAGCATGGAATGTACTTCTGGTTTTAAACTGCCGTACTGCTCCTTCAGACAACCCCCCCCCCCCCCCAATTTATTGCAAATGGAACAGGCCTAGGAATGTTTTATGAGTTGACACTAGAACTTGTTGGCGTCAGCTGCCTTGTGACTACACTATTCCTTATGGGGAAATACTTATGGGGTTGTTTGATACTCATCGTTTTTGGTACTCATCGTTTTTGGTACTCATTGTGCCTCCCAGAACCAATTAATGATGAGTACCGAGGTACCACTGGTATATATAGCTGAACAGGATCTCCCTTCCTAGATAGTGGGGAAAATAGTGCATTTTTAATAGTCAGGTAATGACACGATTGGCGATTAGTACGTAGAAAAAGTACCCATTTATTCAAGGTATGACAAGTATATTTACAATATAGTCTCCAAAACAAGATCCTTATGTGATTTTTCAAACAATCAAGAATTACACTTAAATGGGGAGATCTTATTTGTTACAGAAGATATTATCTCTGCAAATGATTACAACATACAAGGCTCAGTTCTAGGTATGTTTACCCTTGGAAATGAGCCTCAATGTAGTGCAAGCACAATGATACAAACATAAAGACAGCCTTAAGGTTAAAGAATCGTTCAGTCATCTATCGCAATGCCAATTCTGTAAAAACTAAATTTTGTTAACTGCTAAGGGATAGGATCTTAGAAGTTGCAAGGATTATATTTTGCTCCCTGGACGTAAACGTAATAGCATGTTTTAAACCACACAACACAGCAAACTAGTTTAAATCAAATCAAATTCTCTGGATCCTTTGTGTGTGTGAAAGAGCAGTGAAAGTGAAATATACTATCACTTGCAGCCTTCCATTGGTTCTTAAGCAACTCTAGAGGGTTTAATAGGAGGGTCAAGATAACAGAACAGCAGTGGTATTAGATTGCACTCTGCTGACTTAAAAACTACTCTTTTGAATTTTTTAAAAAGTGTTTTGAATTTTAATGTGAATCTTAGAAAAGTGAAAGGATGCCATCCGAAGTGGACAGCGTAAGAAGCAAATTGTCTTCGCTTTATTTTCTAGAGCACCATGACACTATGCTTGTTATTTAACCAAAGTCTCACCTACATTTAAGTAAATTATGACTTAACCAGAATGTCAGATGGGTGTGATGAATTAAGTGATGGGGTCTGATAATGTTTTGAGGAGATTATGCCCCAAAATGACTGGAAGGAATTTTTTTCTCCGCTACCTTCACAACATGGAAAAGAAACAAAAATGGGAAGATTTTTATTCCTTTTGCGTTAGGAATCCTTCTTACTTGGTAGTGGGTTGTTGGAGACTTAATACTCAAATGAGGCTCATTGTATAATATAAGGAAGATAATCTGGCAGCCTGATCCTTCTGGAAAGAGTCCTGAGATTGCAAAACATCTGAAGAAACCCAAATTTATAGCTCTAAGGACATGTGCATTGCTCCAAATCTTAAGCATCTCTCCCAGCCCACAAACTACAACTGAAATGGTTTAAAATATGAGAGTCAATTAAAAATTCTTTTCTACAGCCAAAATATCAAATAAGAACTAGAGCATACATAGCAAAGATATTTAAGGTTTAAGTTTTGAGCATGGCCTGCTCAACTCAACAGGATTCTATTTAAAATAATTAGAGGCAGAGTCTGCAATATAAAACAATACCCCATGTTACCAGTGTTGCAGGTACAATTAGATCAGTGCTATCTATTTTAAGACAGAAAACAACCACCTAGAGCAGGATTCCCCAATCCTTGGGCCGGGCCCCACTATCGGGTCCTGAGCCCTTCGGAACTGGACTGTGGAAGTGGTGGGCGAATGCGTAGGTGGGCGCCTCCTTACATAGGTGAGCCACGGGAAGCGTGGGCACACATGTTCCATTTGTACAAGTGGCAGGTGTGCTTGCCTGCCACTCATGCAAATGGAGCTATGCACGGCCATGCGCTTGCCTTCTGCTCTTATGGAACCATCCCCTCCACCCCGCGGGGTCGGTCCACAAAGCCAGAAAGGTTGGGGAACTCTGGTTTAGAGGGGGGGAGGGAAAACATCCTTTTTAAGGGATACGTCTCCCAAGATGAAATCAAAGAAATGGAACAGGGGCCTGTCAATTGTTCCATCATATAATACTGCAACTCTGGAACAGGATGTTCTGAGTGTTTTTGGAAGCAGTCCAACATCATAGTAGGCCCATTTTGTATCAGACTATATCAGAACGCAAGGCCCATTTGTTTCAAAATTGAAGTGTTCTATTTTGGGATCAGAATGATCCCTAATGGAATGTACATTTTTGTTAACTCCTCCACAATGGGGAAGCTGATGGAGAACTGTCCCTTGAAGCGCCAATTCAAAAATGATTTTCACCGCTGTACAAAATCGATTCGTCTCATCAAAAAGTCCTTTTAAGAAATCACTTAGTGCACTTTTGAAGGACAAAATAGTTCCCATCCTTGGGTATTAGTAACTAGTGTTCATTCACTCAAAAGCGATGGTATTTGTCTGGCTGTTTGAACCATTCAGATTTAAACAAATCAATAGCTTTGCATTAACATGCTTGCTTCAACAAAAGGACACATTTATGATCAAGAGTCACTGTAAGAAGGGTCCGAGAAAGGAACAACGTGATTTTCCTGTTGCATAAGACATTCACATTTCCTCTTTTACCAGTTCAAATGTCCATAAAAGTTCTGAATCTTGCCATTTGGAGCAATAGGGATTGTTTCTAATAGTCAAAGTATAACAAATTAATGTGCCACTTGATCAAGGCTACCAATATGAATTCCCAAGACTTCCCAGCAAACCGACTGATTTGTTTGATAGTTAGAAAAAGTTATTTACACAATAAGTTAGCTTCGTAACATACTCCCTCAGAATAAGAATGGGACGCTTAAGCTCAGTGCTTCAAATCTAGCTCCAGGATCTCATATATTACCAGTAAACAAAACATGATTCTTTATGCGTCAGGACTTTATATGCTGGCTACCAATAACAAAATTAGAAACATGATTTGGGATTGAAATGCCCTTGCGCAAATTTGCTAGCTAGGCAACTCCTGTTTCATAAACTGTGTGAACACCATGAAGCAAAGCAAACTCACTTTAGAAGCTACATATTATGTGCATACAGTTTATTCAATGAGAAAAAGGTTATTTCTTGCTTCCAACATTTACTAGTAATTGGGATAAAGAGAACTAATAGAAAGTAGTGTAAAATTGGTTTCCCCATTCCCTGCCAAACATCTAACAAACCCAGGAATGGTTGAACACAGTTTTGTACGGTTCCGTACAAAATATATTTTTTTTTGCGTATTCCAAAGGTAAAAGATGTAGGTAATGAAAATTTACATTTGGCTTGAAACATTTTCCTACAAAGATTTATTTCAGCGTCTATTTACAGAGAGATTTATACAGCTGAACCATGTGATGAAGTCTTCTGCTACGGTTAAAAATGAGAATTCGTAAGGAAGCTGTCTTGCTTTCAAACAGAAGAAACAGTCAGGAGAAATTATTTTTTCCTTCCAAAAATGGGGAGGAAGTAGGAAATTTGGCAGGCAGGAAGAGGTAAGGGCCACGCCTTATCAACTGACCCATGATCACTCTGTTACACCTTCCGACGTAAGGAGGTAAAAATGACAGGCACTGTTAATTCCATGGAGAGTTTGTTGCATTTAGCTTGTACTCCAAAAATATGAAGAAGTCTTGAAGAGTTCTAACATTCCGTGACTTTTTCGCCAGTTGAGTCCACAGCATTCCTGGTATGCCAATGCCAAGTCTTAAGTTGCAAATTTGCTTCTGGTTTTCTTTTTATATATATATATATATTAAATAGGTTTACTGTATACTATGGTGTAAATTGGAAACTTACTTCAAAGACCATTACAAATGTTGCTTTTGTATACAACAAAATCGTTGCGCTGGACTGACCGATCTTCATGAAGGTTTTATAAATAATATAAATTTAGAACCAGTCTTCAGGACCTTTGTCAATCATTATACCATGTTGTTGCTTTCTCCAGCTTTATCTACAAGCTGTGGGCAAAGGAGACAGAAGGGAAGGTGGAATTGGGGAAGGGAAAAGAAATTGTAATTTAATACATTCATTAAGAATGGAACACATTGATGCTACTTCAACACTTGCATTTTAAGTGAGTGACTGGGTGTAGTATAATCTTACTGAAACAATACTAACCAAGGTCTTATGTAGTTTACACAAAGTAAGACCCATTTGCATTACAACCGCATTTAGGCATGGTATGTTTTTATGTTAACACAGAGCAACATGAAGATGCAACAGAATGAAAAAAAAATTAAATAAATGAGAAATAATGCAAGTATAAAAACTATTTAGCTCAAAGGGGGAAAAAAGAATATTATTTTGAAAAATAATCAGCCATTCATGCATTAATAGACTGAAGATGATATTTTCAACTAACCATTACTGGGAATTGTCTCCTGAACTTACGCAGGCTTTGAAGAAAACATCAACAATTAACTTTTCCAAAGGGATTTAACTCCATAAAGTCCAGTTTATAAATGATATTGATACAGAAAAGCAATAAGCAAGATGTCAAACCAAATTATGAACAGAATTATTTAAATAGATTTAACGTCAGAAGAAAACCCAGCTGTATTAACTTAATTTTTTTAATCCATTAGACATACTGATGCCTTGGAAATTAGAGGCACAACGTGGGGCTCAGAGGCTCCTGTAGTAATAAAGCAAAATGTGCCAGTCTTTGGCATGGCATGCTGTCAGGCTGAGAAAAGGGCAGCATGCTTCTCCTAGCCTAAGTGTCATTGCAGCTACATCCTGAAACATGATATATATGTGTGTGTGTGTGTGTGTGTGTGTGTTTGTCTATCTGTATCCTATTTAGAATTCTCAATTTATAATGCATCTGAACTGCCGTGAACAAAAGCTAGCCACCGCATGCTTAATATTAGACATGTTCAGAAATGCGAAATTAGAGAGATAAGAGAATAATCACAGCTGCAAAGAAATGTGTCAAAAGCCACAAGGATAGTGCCATGTTATTTAATGAGCATTGACCATTGTAAAGATGGACACGGGCAACAGGCAGTCTTGAATACACCTGGTGAAGCTTTCCAGATGCCCATATTCCCTTCGGAAAACTCCCCCTGCGGTTGGGTTTCGCCTCAAGCAATATATGACAATGTCAACTTGCTATTATCTGACAAGGTGTCTGGAGCCTATTTTAGCTGGGAAGATTGACCATCCTTATTCTGTATCTCCAGAAACCATTATACCCAAATTAGGGTGTGAGATGCTAGCAAAGGCAACAGGTGAGCTGAGGTGATAGTTGAACTGTCTCCTTTTAATGAGCCATGAACAATAAACCATTTGCTTGGTTTAATTTACTGCTCCCTACAGTCTTGGTACACAAAATAGGAAAAAAGAATGCTCAAAATAAAATGGCACGTGGATAAGCCTTTCCTGTTCCTCGATTGTTTTCTCAGCTGCCTGAAACAATTTTTCTAGAGTGAAACCTTTTCTGAAAGCCTTCATACATGCAGGCAGGGCATTCTGAAGATTGTTCTCAAGCACCCACTAAATGTTCCCCATTATTATTATTATTATTATTTTGGGGGGGGGGATAATTAATGCACCTAACAAAGACACTGCAAGCCCATTTCAAGGAAAATGGACACTTAGTAGCCTTAAAGAAAAAAAAAAATCTCTCTCTTGCTCTCTCCTGCCTGTCCTTCTCATTCATAGGCCCCAATGATTTTAGAGAATGTTAGGTTGTCACCTTGAACTGGAATTGGAAAATCATTATAGATAGTCCTCATTTAGTGATCAGTTGCGAAGATGGCAGTAATACATCATCATCTCCTTTTAACGACCCCATAAGCCCTTGTGAGGTGGAGTCTGGGCAACTGAATGGAGCTGGGTGCTTACTGGCCGGATGTCCTTCCTGTCACCAATACGGAATTTTATTCAGCAGATTCACTCTCATTGTGCCCAGAGATAGATATCTGCCTCTACCTAGGATCCAACCCACAGCCTCCTGATTGTGAGGCGAGAGCGCCACCTCTAGGCCACTCCACCACTCATGGCAGTAATAATACATGGTGGCCAAAAATTCAATTGCTGACCAATAGCCTCCAAATTTGGGGCACCTGACAACAAAAACCTTCAGTGTGAAAAACTGATTAAAGGTTTAGTCAGTTTCAAGCTGTACTGCAAAGGGGAGGGGGTTTCTAATCAATTAATTAAGGTCACTGAGCGGAGTCTGTTAAGTTGAGGTTAACACATTTTAGGGAAGTGTTGTGAGAAAAAGCAGCTCCAGAAGAGACAGTTTAAGCAATCTCTCTACTCTGCAAGGGGGCAACAAAAATGTCAGACACAAGACACCGCAGGAGAGAACTTTATCTGAAGCAGCAACCAGGGATTTTTGTACCTTTCCCCCCCCCTCTCTGGGTCACATGTTCACTTAGCGACCATTTCATTTAACAAGCAAGTCATTGGAACAGAATGCAGTCACTAAATGAGGTGTAGTACCTATTTGTAAAGTTTTGGGGAAAATTAATGTTTTTATAGTATGCTTTTTAAATGGTATCTACAGTTCTGTCAAAAAGTATTGGCCCATTCTAGATTTTTGTGTTATTTGTTCATTCAGACTTCCTTTGTATGCCAGGAAGATTACATGAATCACTGACATCAGTGGGGAAAAATATAAAATTTCATAAATTTTTGAGAGAGATAGTTTTTCACAAATCTGTGATTTATACTGACAAAGGGACCTGAGCAAATCTGATGGGGGCTTTATGTATGACATGACAATTTACGCATATCTACAATGTATTCTTGCAACTGAAGGATCAGTCCATTTCTATGCCAAACCAGCTTTTAACTTTAAACTCAATTTGCTGGATAAGCTGCAAAGTAACTAACCATCCTCTGAGTGATTGTATGAAAACTGTCCTAGTTCAAATTCAAGTCAAGAAAAAAAAAGCCTCAGGCTAAAATTATGTCTCTTCTAACCTGAAACATGGGGAGATGATATCTAAAAAATCTGGAGAATAAATATAAGGATAGAGAAGACGGTCTATGCTGACATAGAGTTAATTTTGAATCGTGTTATCATTGTTACCTGAAGGCAAATATAAGCATTTGGTGACCCATATTTTAAATGCACATCTCTGTACATGCTGGTCCAAGTTCTTTAAATGGAATCCAAGAAACAGAAGGAAAACAGAACTTGCTGTGTATTATGTGAAATTATTTAATACTTACTGATCTTATACCAGGTAAATTCAACAGATACCCGAGAACTGGCACTCTTCTAATAAAACCAATCACCACAGGGAAAAAGCCCCTTGGAAGAAAAAAACACATTACAGATTAGAAGACTTTTCCAAATAGGCTCCCTTTACACATTTCTAAGATTTTTAAAAACTGCTTATTTTTTGTATGAAGAAATATATAATCTTTCATATATATTTTCCCCTTTCAGAATGAAGAGTATACTCATCTTTAATTCTTTACATATTTCAAGTAGTTAGTGATACAGGTAGTCCTTGCTTACTGACTAGTCCTTCAGTGACCATTCAAACTTACAATGGCAATGGCAATGAGAGATGTCCAGTTGTGGACATTGCAGCGTCCCTATGATCACATGACTGCAATCTGGATGCTTAGCAACCAGTGCCCATTTACAATGGTTGTCATGTGGTCATGTGATCACCACTGCGACTTTCACAGCTGGCATCCAACAAGCAAATAGGGAAGCTGGCAGGAAGTCACAAGTTTGCGGTCATGCGACATCGTCCTATAGTGATTCACTTAATGATTGCAACAGGAACTGATGTCATAAGTCGGTGCCATCACATGAGGTCACAGTGCAGTGCTTAGCAACAAAGTTGCTGGCTCTTACTGTGGTCAAAAAGTGAGGACTGCATGTATAGACTTACACGCTTCCTAACTGTCTTGCTGCTCACTGGGTAATAGAAACATTTAAACAATAGGGACAGGAGCACTACATGAGGTGCAGGTACCTGCTAAGAGGCCACTGTTGATTACAGCTTTGGGGAGGAGACTTCTTAAATAGTTTATTAAGACATCATAGTTGTATGAATACTATTATTCCAGGGATCCACACACGGTTTTTAAATGCAAATTTAGAGACATATAAAATGGGTTGGTTAAGTACTAAGAGGGGAAAGGGACCTTGCATACCATAACAGGCTATAATGCTTGGTCTCAAAAATTGGAAAGAAGCAACCCCCTATAATTGGAGTTCCACTGGTGTCTTCCTTGACATCACAGTGTCTCACATTTAAGAGGATCCCAGATGGCAGGGAAATCTACTTCTATTAGTACTGCTGTAAGTACCTAAACCACCAGTGAGCCATAGTGGCGCAATGGTTAGAATGCAGTACCGAAGGCTAATTCTGCCGACTGCTGGGAGTCACTAGGGTCACTAGGGTCAAGGTGGACTCAGCCTTCCATCTTTCCGAGGTGGGTAAAATGAGAACCCAGATTGTTGGGGGCCATAGGCTGACTCTGTAAAATGCTTAGAGAGGGATGTAAAGTACTGTGAAGCAGTATATAAGTCTCCAAGTGCTATTGCTAAATGCAAATTCTCTCCATTTCCACCTTGCAAGGAAAACCACTTTTCGGCACAAAAATTTCAAGGAATTATATGGAATTTTAGAAGAGGGTTGTTATTGAAATGAGCAATTAAAAAGGATTCCCAATAATATACTGGTGCTGTAGAAAAAAAAATCAATCATTGCACAGGCAGTTGGGAAATGCTCCCCTTTCCTCCATCTGTTTTGGCCTTGAAAATCTATATGCTGGATACTTTCTGTGAGGGTGTGTGGGTGTGTCTGTACACGAACACAAGAGAAAATCAGCCCAGGAACAGATGAGATGCCACTACAAGCATTTTGTAACTCTGGAGGGCTCATGGCTATTAGACAGTTCCTACTTTGCATCGAGGTGATACCCTCAACTACAATTAAGGTAATATATTATAAAAACAAACTGGGATTAAGATACCACTTCACAACAAAATGCCTTTAAGCATATGTCTTTCCCATAAGCCAAAGAATGATATGCCTCAGAATGTCATGTGAGATAAAATTATTAACCAATCCATCATTTATTAACCAATCCATCATCCTCCACTTAGAGACAAACAACCTACTCTCCAATAAACAATTTGGTTTCAGAAAAAAACTATCCTGTAATCTGCAACTCTTACACTGCAAAAACATATGGACGACACAACTCGACCAGGGCAAAGCAATAGACGCAATCTACATAGACTTCTGTAAAGCCTTTGATTCAGTGGTACACGACAAACTACTCCTAAAAATAAAATCCTATGGTATATCTGGACAACTGAATAACTGGATAGAAGCATTCCTGTCAAACAGACAACAAATGGTCAAAATCGGGAGCGTTCTATCAAATCCAGTACCTGTCAATAGTGGTGTCCCTCAGGGCAGTGTTCTAGGACCAACCCTCTTCATACTCTACATAAACGACCTCTGTGATCTTATTAAGAGCAATTGCGTTCTCTTCGCTGATGATGTAAAGCTGTTCAATACCACAGACAATACTGCTACCCTACAAAAAGATCTTGACTATGTATCCGAATGGTCAAACAAATGGCAACTTCAAATCTCAACAAATAAATGCTCTGTCTTACATATTGGCAAAAAAATCAGAAAATAAAATACAAGCTGAATAGTCAAGACCTTGTTGATGACCCAAGCTCTGTAAAGGACCTTGGAATACTCACCTCTAATGATCTGAGTGCTAGAGCCCACTGCAACTACATAGCCAAAAAGGCATTAAGAGTTGTTAACCTAATCCTACGTAGCTTTTTCTCTGGCAATATCACACTACTAACCAGAGCATACAAAACATTTGCTAGACCAATACTCGAATACAGTTCATCAGTCTGGAACCCTCATTACGTATCTGATATTAGCACAATTGAGAAAGTCCAGAAATATTTCACAAGAAGAGTTCTCCACTCTTCTACTCGTTGTAAAATACCTTATGCCACCAGACTTGAAATTCTAGAACTAGAAAACCTTGAATTACGCCGTCTTCGGTCTGACTTAAGCATGGTATATAAAATCATACATTGCAATGTCCTACCTGTCAATGAATACTTCAGCTTCAACCATAACAACACAAGAGCACACAATAGATACAAACTCAAAGTAAACCGCACCAAACTTGATTGCAGGAAATACGACTTCAGCAATAGAGTGGTCAATGTCTGGAATACTCTACCCGACTCTGTAGTCTCTTCCCCAAACCCCAAAAACTTTAACCTTAGACTGTCTACCATTGACCTCACCCCTTTCCTAAGAGGTCTGTAGGGGGCGTGCATAAGCGCACCAACGTGCCTACCGTCCCTGTCCTATTGTTTCTCTATTTTTTATTTTTCTTATATATACCCATTTCATGTATTCACAACTATGTATACACTTATACTTATTATCTTGGAAACAATTGACAAATCAAATAAATAAATAAATAAATAAATAAATAAATAAAAGCAATCAATAGCCAGTGGGTTAATTGAAAAAAAAAAAAACTGGCTCCATTCCACACCTGGGTTACAATGGGTAGTAAGCCCCTTATGGCAGAGGTCTCCAACCTTGGCAACTTTAAGACTTGTGGACTTCAACTCCCAGAATTTTCCAGCCAGCAGAGCTGGAGTCCACAAGTCTTAAAGTTGCCAAGGTTGGAGACCTCTGCCTTATGGGATACTTCGATTGTTTCATTAAATGTTGATTTTCTCCAGGCCCTCTTTTGGACAACATATTATGTATTTTTATTGGGTTTATTCTTGCAAAGGCACCCAGTTATACAGGTGGAGACAGTCTGTAAGTCTAATAAATGAATAATTATTTCTATGCAAATTTTCTTTTTGGTAGTAAACTGCATTCACCTGGGAGTGTGTGCCAGAATTCACAAGCCAGCAGTGTAGGGAACTACTACAGGTAGTCTTCGACTTACAACAGTTAATTTAGTGACCAAAGTTATGGCACTGAAAAAAGTGAATTATGACCATTTTGCACCCTTACGACTGTTGTAGCATTCCCATGGTGACATGGTGAAAATTCAGATGCTTAGCAACTGGTTCATATTTATGACGGTTGCAGTGTCCCTGGGGTCATGTCATCCCCTTTTGCAACCTTCTGACAAGCAAAGTCAATGGGGAAGCCAGATTCACTTAACAACCCTGTTATTAACTTAACATATGCAATGATTCACTTAACAACAGTGGCAAGACAATTCATAAAATGGGGCAAAATTCACTTAAAATGTTTTACTTAGCAACATAAATTTTTGGTATCAATTGTGGTCGTAGCTCGAGGGCTACATGTATTTTTTTTCTTGCACATATTGCCAACAGTGCAATAGGACAGCAACAAGCTGTTCCCCCCATGAAATGCAATTTTGTACTAGAAATGATCGCTAGCAAAAAGCTTGTGCTTTTCCACATTTCTATCTAATTTTTCTTTTTCTTGTCTTAGAAGTTTCATAATCACCAGTAGCTAAATAATTTTCTATATGAAATTTCAAGCACTATTCTTCATCTATGAATGTCTATAAACTCCTCAGCAGAATTTGGTAATTTCTCAATCACAGTGAACCAAAAACATATTTGGAATCAAAATTAAATGGCCTCCCTGTGAGGGAGATGGGAGGTTAATACATCTATATATACAGTATAAAAGTGAAATATCCATCACGCATCATCACAAAATCTCCAGAACTGTAAAGCCTACAAACTTGAAATTTGGCACCTATGTTTCTCTTGGCTTCTAGGTGCTCACTAACAAAGGATTTTTTGAAATGACCATCAGAACATTAGTATTTCCTATATTATTATTAACATGCTCTGATGCTAAGGAGTTCTACTCCCCCTTCCCACCTGAAAAGAAATCTGTTCCAAATGCAAAACACCAGCAGAGGACAGGAGTTTCAATTTCACAGCAGCAACCAGCTTTAGTACAGAACTGTTGAGTTAAGCCACACCAAGGCTCCTTGCTGTCTCTTTCTTGTTCACACAGAAAATACTGTTTCATTTTCCAAACAGCCCTCAACTCTCTCATACACTGATAGGACGCTAGCCAGATTAATACCGATGGATGCTGGTAGGCAGAGGCAGAATCCCCCTCCCCCCCGCTCATTTTCCTCCCCAAAAACTAAGCCCGACTACATAGTTTAATAGCAAAGCATGGTATCAAGCTAGTTTGATATATAATTAAATAAAAGTAAAAATTTGCAAGAAGACCTTACCTGAATAAGAGGAAGAAACCATAAATTTCAAAGACCATTCCTATCAGAGGCCAGCCAATAAGAACTATAAATACACCACCCAAGAAAAAACCTGTGGCTTTCACTTTGTGTTTCTGGAAAAAGAATCTGAAAGTTCGTTCTAAACCAATTACGAAAGCCAGGCCAGCCACAAATAAAACCTGCAAAAATGAAAACAAACAGATTTGAATATAGGTTCCCACCTTGGAAATATTCAGAGAGAAAATATTCAGATTCAATATAAATGTTCTCCAAACATCTATAGCAACAATTTGCTATTGGAGGAAACAGGAATATTTTAAAGGTATCTTTTATAATGTTGGAACAATAAAAAAACACAACTGTTTGCGAAGGAAGATAAATAATTTACAGTCTAAACACTTAGGGTTATTACTAACAAGATAGATTAGAAAGGAACTTTTATTTTTCTCCCACCTTTATTACGTTTATAAATAACCCAAGGCGATGAACATACGTTAATACTCCTCCCTTTTCCTATTTTCTCCACCACCCTGCGAGGTGGTTTGGGCTGAGAGAGAGGGACTGGCTCAAAGTCAGCCAGCTGATTCTCATATCTATGTTGCTAAGGATTAAATAGGATAATAAATAGGGTTGTGCAAAACTTACCATTGTAAAAATAGAAATTTTTCATCTCCAGAATAATGTTTATACACAACTAGCAATGTGTATAATTTAAGTAATGAATATCTCACTGGATGACATTTCTCGCACTGCTGTATTTTAATGTTCAGTTTGATCTCCTCCCCCAAACAGAAGTCTAGATTAATACAACACATCTAACCGTATATTGGCAAAACACAATTCCTGTTCAACTAACAAGATTGTAACCAAACAAGTACAGGTAGTCCTTGACTTACAACCATTTGTTTACTGACCATTTGAAGTTACAACAGTACTGGAAAAAGTGACTTATGGCCATTTTTCATACTTAGGACAGAATTGATGCCTTTGAATTGTGGTGCTGGTGTAAATTATTGGGTATACCATGGAGAAACAGTGTAATTAACAGAGAAATCGTTAATTGTTAAATCGTAGAAAGCCAGATACATCATTAGAAGCTAAAATTATAAGACTACATCTGATTTATTCTGGCCATGCCATGTATTCAAATTCATTGCAGAAGGCAATGATGCTAGGAATGCTTTCTGGAACAAGAAGAAGGGGCAAGCAAAGAACACGCTGGCTTGATAACATCAAATCTGATACAAAGTTGAACATCCAACAATTGAAAAAAAACTGCGCTTGACAGGGTAGCATAGACAGCACTTGCCTGTAAAGTTGTCAAGAGTCAGACACAACTAAATGTTTAAAAGAACAATGATCTGGCTTCTCTATGTAGGAGTTTCTACAACTTGCTGAACCTCAAGCTATCCAATCTCATTTCTGTCTAGACCGTTGTGTGAATTTGGCCACAGGGGAATTAAATGAATTGTCTGTGTTAAACATAATCACTCTCAGAATCCTATTATTCTGTGCAAATGTTATTCATGCAAAAGTACTTACGTTTCCAATAGCTAAAAGTGCTTTGTCGAAAAATAGGATCATTCCAAAGAAAAGAAAAAATACTCCAAAACCTGTAAGGCCCATCCCAATTTCTGCAAGACAAAAAAGAAGAGTATTAATTACTCAGTGTTAGCAACAAAATAAAAATAAAATAAAATAACCATTAAAAACCTTACACACAGTTATAACATTAGCCAAGGACATTTTTAAACTGGCTCCATTAAAAAAAACAACCCAATTGACACTTGCCCTCTTTTGAGTTAAAACATGCTATTCTGAAGGGACTTCTACTATAAAAATATTTTTGTTTTGATTACTGCTACTTTTGTCTCTAGAAATAGCCAGTCCTTGATACAGTGCTGATCTATAGATTCAGCTACCACATTTGCAATCACAACTGTCCTTTTCTCTTTTTTGGAGGGGGGGTTGTCTCCCACAATAGGCTTACCTACAAGGTTTCTAAAACATTTGTTAATTGTCTAACATAAACTCCCAACACTTTGTGGTGCTGAGATCCAGAATTCCCATTCAAATCAGAATTCATGAAGAAGTATTAAATTCAATTAACACATTCTCCCTTAAATTACTTATTGCATTTATAAACAATGCCATCCCTGCCAATTCACTTCTCCAGTAATCTTAGCAGACGCCTTTTCTGTGCATGCACAGACAACTGGAGATGTATCATAGAGCTGGCTGTCACTGTTCCAAGCAGCCATGTAAGCCCTGCAAAGACACTAGTGCATTAAAAAGGTGAACTTCATTTTGCACTAATGCATCTTTGAGAATATTTCTTTCAAATATTTTGCAAAGGTCCAACATAATTGTTGGCCATAGGATAATGTCCATAACTGCACATTATGAAGATGCAATCATTTATCCACTCACAGTTTAGAGACTTTTTAAAATAATCTACTTATATTTCTTCCATGAAGACTATTTTCAAAAAACAGGATAGACCCATGATTAACTAAATGCATAAAACAGAAATTAGTTTTTTACCAAATAAACTGAAACATCAGTTTTATTCTTAATATTAAATCTCTTCTTTAAAAATGTATTTTGATTTCAATATGGATCTGGTCCACCTATTTTAGCATTGCAATTCATTATCTAAACACCCTATAATTAAAATAACCATGATGTATTAATTTATTGATGTATTAACAGTACAAAGTAAAATAAACTTTGTATTCCTTCTTGAAACATTTAAAAATTTGTAGCTCAAGGAAGCAGTAAACAAAACCCAGTCAAGGAACTACCAACTTAGACAAACTAACAGTAAACAATAACATAATAAAGGAACCACCAAAAACACTCCCACCAACACTGACAGGGCAAACCACTAGTACATAAATAGAGAGAAAACCTTACTCCCTTCTAGCACTGATCCTGTTATCTAGTTGGGTAATGGGACATCTGCAAGAAAACAGCCAAATTCAGCACTAAGGACCTCACAGTATTTATAAATTATTTTAATTTTTCAGCAGCCTTAAGCAGAGAAAACTGTTATAATGAAGGTACATCAATTTTATTTTTAAGAATATGATGACCAGGAAATGTTTAATAGGCAAGTACATACAGGCAAATGAGAGAAGAAACAGTTGGAAGAAGAACAAAGCAATTTACCACTCTTTTGCAACCTGTATAGAAACTGAGCAGGCTGCTAAGGAAAGGAAGCTTTATTTCAGTATTTGGTAAAGAAATGCAGCCAGACTCATTTTCTCTTCTTTGTGAACTTCAAACTTGATTATGAAGTTTGGGAACTGCTAATTTTTCAACAAATATACAAGTTATTGTTTCAATAAAATAAATTTAAGCTACATATATCCAAGGACACTTTTGGACAACAGAAACTGGACTGTTCCATAATAACTCTGGAAAATTTCTGCAAATCAACAGAGAAATAAAAGATATTTATGATTTAAGTGGTAACGTAGACCAAGCAGCAGTTTTTGACAGATTCAAATTGAGGACATAAAGAGGTATCAGATTTCTGACATCAACCCAATAGTAAAAGAGAGAAGGGAGTGAGCAGCAAAGTTGCTTCAGTACCTAGAATTAACTGCTCCATGGGGACAGAGGATGGAGCTCCAAAGAAGACTAACTATGGGGCAAGACATTGCAATATAGAAAATGATGCCTTCAACATAGATTAAAATAAACAGCTTAAAGATTCCCAGCATGTAACAGATCTCTATAATTTTTTAAAAGTTTTGCTTTAAAAGTTGTAATACATTTGGCACTAAACTGATTCTCACAATTATGAATTTGCTTCTTTATGTTCCATGACATTGCATAATATTCACATTTACGTTACTTGTGCAAACATGCTAAACATTTTCTTGTGCAACTTTTATGAGTAACAATGAAATCATTTTATTTTATACAACTTAACCATAGCAGCACTAATTTATCCAACTGAGGTATATCATACACTACACAAAAAGGGCTGCTTATCATAAAAGTATAAATTCTGTGAGCATTTTCTCAAATATAGCCAACAGAATTCAACACATGTCAGCGTAAGCATTCCTGGAGCACTCACAAAAAGAACAGGTGTGAGATAACTATTTTATTGCTGCTTCTCACAAGTTTTTATGGAACCCTCCTTATCTTTTAGATGTAGTTTAATTATGGTAACTAGCCATTGATTACTCAGTCTGCCACATACTGGTCCAGTTCTCTTTTTTGTTTAGACTTTATAACATTTGTGGAAGCAGAAACCCATTCTTCTCATTAAAATCTCCATAACATCAAATACTTAAATGTGCAATAAATGATAGCCTGTGTCTTAATGTAGTTCTGTATTTCAATTAAGTAGCCACAGGTGAGAACTTATTTCACATGGGCAAAATAACTGGTTGGCAGAGGTGAGAAATTGCTTCCTTTACACCTAGCCAAACAATTTTGCATCCCTCCTCTGCTAACCTTCTGAAAACTAAATGCAAACATTTTAATTGATTTTAAAACAAGGCTGCATACCATTCAACTCTTGAATTATACAAAAAAAATTCCAAATATTCCAACACTGATGTTCAGATTATTTTTCAACAGAAGAGAATATATTTCATTCAGGGTTGAACAATGGAGTTCTTGGTGATCAGAGTTTGGGTTACAGACTTTTCATTATCCAACTATGTAACATCATGAGTGCTAGCGAGTGTGGGATCTGCTGTGATAGTAGCTTACCCTGCCAGGGGTTTGGTAAGGGTGTGGCTTTCATTTTAGTAGTTCCTTGATTAGAGTATAAAAACAGAGCAAGCCCTACACTCACTAGCACTTATGTTACACAGTTGGGTAATAAAATGTCTGCGGGCAAACAATGAAGCTTAAGCACATCGCAGATTATTTTGAACTAACATATGGCAAGAGAACATGTTCTATCTAAAAATAATAATTCTAATATTCCAGATAGTTCAGCTTCGATGATTTTATGCTAGCTTTCCTTCTTTAATCCACTGACTGCCAAGTGAACTTGGGCTTCACATCCTATACCCACCTGTTAAAATCCAACACAGCTGGAGGGCCCCCCAGGGTGGAGGAACTCTGTAATTAGAGCATGTCTGATGCTCATACAAAATATACAAATTTTTTTCCATATAAAAGCCAGTACTACCTCCACTTTTTAAAATATCAGGACAAAGGTATACAGGGACAGTGGCAGGAATCATAGTTCGTGAGAGGTGGTGAAAAAGTCTTCTACTCCAAAATAACAATTGCAGAAGTAGCAAATAATAATGTTTAGTTATTTAAACAAAACAAAAACAAAAAGCCATCCTGAAGCCCAATTAATTAAACTCTTGCTTAATTAATTGCCCGGTCGCATCCATGCAGCTTTTTCCCGCTGCTGCCTTTGGCCATTAATTTTAGGTTATTTTATACTTATGTTTATTATATATATATTTATGTTAGGTAAAGAAAGGGGAACCTTCCAGACGGGGTGTTTCCTGGGGGGGGGGGGGGGAGGGGGGCACACCCATTCCAAGCAATGCTAATATGATTAATATTAACAATCACCGGTGGGAGAGCAATGAAGGGTTCGTGGAACAGAACGGCAAGGATAAAAAGCTAGGAAGGAGGATGCAAACGGAGAGGATAATGCCAACAATCATTACTACAGAAGCAGCAATATTTGGCCTCCGCCCCCCCCCCCCCCCCCCACAACCCTTCCTCCCCAATTCACCTACTCTGCGTATCCGTGAGGGAAATCATGATGTCGGTAAGAGCCGCCGCGCCAGCCGGATAAAGAACCGAAGAGAAGGAGCCGGAGCCGCCTCAGGAGCCCGTTCGCCACGTCCTCCGGAAACACGCAGCCCCCTCAGACTAACCCGGCTTCGGCTGCCGACCCGCCTCCGCCTCCGCCTGCCGCCGAGGCGCCCGCTACTGCTGCCGCCGCCGCGATGCAAAACGCCATCCCATTGGGGCGAGAACGCCGAGCCAATCAGCGCCGCCTTTATTCCGCTTCCTTCCTCCGGCCGTCGAGAGGCGGGGCGGAGCTTCGGCTGAGCTGAGGTGGCCGAGGATTAAAAGCGCGAGGCCAAGAGTGGAGCGCGCGCCGGGGCGGATTGGCTGAAGCAAGGCCGGAAAGCGGGAAAAAAAAAACAAAAAATACTGAAGGGGCGGGGCCAAGATGCCGGCTGGGATTTCTTGAGCGCGGCGGAAGGGAAAGAAGACGGAGGGAGAGGTTGGTCTCCTCGTTGGGGGAAGGGATGGGCGTTAGGTCGGGCGCTGCCCCGGAGGGGTTTTTTTTTTCGCCCCCTTCAAGAGACAACTGGACTTTCTGGTTTTTCTTTGAAGACGTTTCGCTCCGATTGGATGACGGGAAAGGGAAGGATTGATATTCCTTGCAGACGGCTGGTCATTTGCATCCTTTTAGGGAGCCCTTGAGGCCACCTGGAGGTTTATGAGTGTCATCAGGGTCACCTGAGTGGTGCAAATGTTTGTGGAGCCGCCTTGGGACTGCTGAAAGGACTGAGTTGTAGACTGGAGATGGGAGATGTCATATCTCTCCCCCTCTGGTGAGAGAGTTCAGGTGACCCTGAACCTCCAGGTGGCCTCAACGACTCTCTAAAAGAATGCAAATGACCAGATGTCTGCAAGGAGTATAAATCCTTCCATTCCCCACCATCCAGTCAGAGCTGAAGAAGCTTCTTGGATGAGAAGTGAAAGGTCTTCAAAGAAAAAAACAATGTCCAATTGCCCCTTGAAAAAAAGCACCTTTGGGATAACCATGATCTGGGTGACTGAGAATCTCCATAGACACTTTGGGAGGGAATTGGAGAGAATGGAAGATTACAACAATCCTGCAATGTAGGCCCCCCCGGTTCTATTCCTGCTCTTTTACAAATGGCACGATTGACTCAGTCTTTTAAAGAGCTCCTATATTCCAGCAGGTGGAGAGAAAGAGAAGACGATAAATAATAGTCTAGGCCAGTGGTTGCTAAAAGATATGTGGAGTTCCAACTTATGGTTGGGGAATTCTGGGAATTGAAATCCCCACATCATAAAGGTTGAGAAACGTTGGCCTAGTCTAATATTTTTTTCCACAAGGAAAAGACCTACTGGTATATATTTGTTGGATTCATATCCTTTCTTTTGTGGAGAATTTCAAGTGAGTGAACATCACCCTTCCCATTTCTCCCACAGCAGCTCTGTGAAGTAGGTTGGGTTGAAGGAACAGGACTTGATTGATGGCTGTCTTGTAGTGAGGACCTTTATCCTAAGTTGCAAGGAAAAATCAATAAAAGGGGGAAGGGTTTATGCCATCCTGTGACCCAGTGTTATTTTAAAAAGGGGGAGAGAGAGAGAGAAAATATATCCTGCAAATCAGTTATTTTAGTCTAGGGATTTTTTTAAAAAAATTACTTATATTTTATATTTCTTAACTGCCCATCTCCCTCAGAGAGGAGTGTTAACTGAGCAACATCCAGCTAAACACCTCTTGATTCAGAACGTGTTCACACAACATGCTTAGCTTAAGCTAAACATGGCTTATTGAACTTTCTCCAAATCCATCTTTTAACCATGCTTATGCATGAGGTGGAAATAAAGCTGCTACCTGTAGGTTTGTAACTGAATAAAGGTGTATGAACAGCCAGGGTTCCTTCTGGAATGGAACAGAAGGCAGAGGAAAGTGACTTGGGTTTTTTCCTGTTCAAACTAAATATATTTGCTAGTTGCCAAAGTCACAAGTGCAGATTTGAATCAGAACTTAGTGTGGAGAGCCACACTAAAATTTCTAAAGCTTCACCTTATCTTCAGGAAAATATTTCTATGATAAGCTGTCCTAGAGACTGATTCACCAAAAATTACATGAAGTATCATGTAAGCTTGCAAAGCTCTTTTCTTTTTTCTACACGAGGCTGATATGGCGGCTCATTATGACAGAACGGTGTGATTGTTCAAGGCAGATATATCTTATCCAGAAACTCCAGTCCTAAAAATTGTCTCAAAGCTTTGGCAGTGATACTGTGATGTAAGCATTAAGCAGTGAGGGCAAGGCTGTTTTTGTTTTTTTTGTGTTTTGTCAGAAGAGGATATTTAGTAAATTTAGTACGGTTTAAAAAGTCCATGAAAACCTGTTTGCTTTCCATATTTGCAAATTTCTAGATAGTACTGGTGTGGCAAAAAACTTCATCTAGTTAGCATATTTCTGGATAGAAATTCCATTCTGATGTGAGAGAAAACAGTAACAATAGCAATAGCAAATATAATACTTGTTCTAATGGTTGAAATGCAGGTCCTCTATTTTTGAAATACAATGTAACAAGCAGAAATTCCGCAAGTGTAATTGTTGTAAGCTTTGCTTCTCTCATTCAAATGCCAAATGTATATCTGAACTGATGCACTATAGAACATAGGCAGAGTGGGGAATTCACAGGTTTCAGTACTTTGTATATTTTTTTTCATCAACCTAGAAAACTAATGTTGGGGAAAGAGCTGCTGCATGTGAAATTATCTGGAACAAATTTGACATGATTGCACGGTTTAAAAAACCCTTTATGTTGCTGAGAAAACAGTTGTATATATCAGGTGAACTTTGTTTTGGAAGGGAATGCAAGGAACTTCAGAAAACGGGAATTTGACAGAATTCCTCTGATGAATACAATATTAGGGAAAGCTTATATGCAAGTCCTTCGATCAAGAGGTTTTTTAAAGATTTGTTTCTTAAAGACAAGGATTTTGTTTTGCAAAGTAGTAATGGCTGCATCTTTGTTATTTACCTCTTTATATTGGCTTGTTTTTGTTTTGATGCTTTCTATGAGGCCACTCTCAGCCCTAGGAAATGGGCAGTGGCAAATCGCGTCTGAAATATTGCCAAAAAAACTGTAGGGACTTGTCCAGGCAGTTGCCTGACTCGAAGGTTTCCCCCCCCTTGAAAAAAAGATCCATAGCAATGTTTCTTAACCTTGGCAACCTAAAGAGGTGTGGAATTCAATTCCACAAGCAAAGCCAAAAAAGATGAACTGAACAAATTATATACTGCTCTCTCGTGGCCACAATAGGTTGCACAAAAGAAAGAAAACACATCTAGGAATTATCTTTTTTTTACATCTGGTTTGTCCCAATATCACTGACAATTGAAATCTGCATAGCTCAGAGAAGAGTTTAAACCAATCCAATCAACAATGTTGACAATGTGCCAGATTTTTAAACGTCACCTTTGTTCTGCCTGATATTCGGGTTAGTGCATATTTCAGGAGAAACCAATAAGCTTGTTTGCTATTTTAGGACTTCTGATTTGGTCCTTACCTTATAAAAGGTATTGCATTACTGTAGATTTTGAGTGTTTTCTTAATGGTCTTTTGCACCATAGTCTTTTTTTTTAGTTTAAAATTTGGATATTTTTTTTTAAAAAGTAAATTGCCTTTAAAATGAAAAAGGCTACCTAATAACAAACTATTATTGCTTTTTTCCACAGACTTCAGGGCAGAGTAAAATGTATCCCTTCCTCAGAAGATTTGAGGATCAGTGGCATGTTGGAGATTTAAACACTACATGATGCCTGTCAACTTGTTGAATTTAATGAGTTGTAAGTGGGACTGGGGATGCTGTGCCCATTCAACAGAATTTAAACACAAACCCTGGCATTTTATTCATCCTGTTAGGGTTAGCATAGAGTACAAGTAGTCCTTGATTTACAGCAACTTATTGTTTTTTCAGGAAGAAACTTGGAGCATTGCTTTGATCAATATTTGTTAGTGAAGCACTTTAAAGGCGATGTCAACAACTCTTTCAGGTAACTTGTGCTTCCAACATGCATTATTACAACAGATTTTAAATACATATAATATGTAATGTGGGTGTGGGTGTATGTATGTACATATTTCAGAAAAGAAATGGGAATGCCATGACTGTGCATAGATGTGTTATAGATCTTTTAGATTTGGGCTAAATTAGCTTTTAGTTTGGAAAGAAGAGGCCTTACTGGCTATATTGATTGACAAGTTTAGTCATAATGGAGCATGTCTTTAGAGGCTTGGTTGGAGAAGCATAAGAGAAAGAGAAAGCACGACAATTCCTTGCATTGAATCCAGGGTGTATTAATTTCCCATCAAATGGGGGAAAATGTTGCAATGTTTCCCTTCAGTGCTGCAGGAGGAGCTGGGGTCTATTGACGATGAACTTCAGGCATTGGAAATCCAGATTCAAGAACTTCTTGAACATCAACAACAACTCATTCAAAAGAAGACCATTTTGAAGAAGAAAATAAGACAGTTTTCAGACACCAAAAGTGGGAGCAGCAAAGAGACTGAATCAGCAACTGAGGACTGGAACAAAGAAGGTCTTGCAAGCTCAGAATCTTTATTCCGTTGCCATTTAAATCAAACAGTGACCTCATCAACATTACGTTCAATATTCAAAAGATGATCACTGCTATTAAATGCAAAGGCTGTTAATTTTATACACATCTGTTTTTCGGTTAAATGAGGTTGAAAGCAGCCTAAGTCCTTTACTGCATGCTGTCCATAATCATACTTCATGCAAAGTTCTTTCTCTTGTTGCTTCAGATGAATTTAAATTTGGAGAAGATTCTTCACTGCTATATTAAGCAGTCGTGACATTTCTGCACATGAATAACCACCAATTTGATGTTCATTTAGATCAAGAGAAATTGGCTGTAGTTCACTTGCTCATAGTTAACTTTTTTTCAGAAAGGGTCTTGGCTTGCTGGCCTTTGATTCTTGCTTCCATTGCACAATGAATATATTGGTTGTAAAGGAGAGGGAAAATAGAGATGGGAATGCAAGTCGTTCTGCATCTTGTTCTCTGGCTGAGGTTTTAATGAGCGGTCGTAGTACTTTTTTTTTTTTCAGTTTAGAAAACGGAAAACATATAAAATTTGGGTCATTGTTGCTCCCTTTTCAGAAAAAAGCCTTTTTTTAATGGTCTCTCTATACTCAAATGAACCTCAAAGTTGTTTTTAAATGTTCTTTTTACAGACTTTCCGTGGTCTGCGAAGATCAGGGATGTGTTACAAAAGAGCTTTGGCCTCCAGAAATTTAGGCCTTTGCAGCTGGAGGCAATTAATGCAACAATGGCTGGCAGAGATGTATTCCTCGTCATGCCTACCGGAGGGGGAAAGAGCCTGTGTTATCAATTGCCAGCGGAAGGTTCTCAGGGTAACTACCTGCGCTTTGTAACTCGAGCAACTGTTTTTGGTTGAAACCAGGAAGAAATAACAGATTCATACTGCATAATGTTTTAACAGACTTTTCCAATCTAATGCTCTTCGCACAACTTAGGACAAACGGATAGGAGAACCCTTTTCTTTCCAAATAATTAACTTCCATCTCTTGATAAGATTGGCGTCAAGCAATTTTAGTGCAACAAGCCACTAGAACAGTGCCCCCCCCCAACTTTTTGGGTACCAGGGACCGGTTCCATGGAGAGAGGGTTTTCCACAGACCAGAGGGGGCTTGGTTTCGTGTGCTGCCTGCATCCCGCGGCTGGGGCTTTGGTTCGCGTGGCCCAGTTTCTGGCATACCGTGGCCCTGTGCTGGTCCATGGACTGTAGGTTGGGGTTCCCTGAACAAGAATATAAACAGAACTTCTTATTAGCACTGATGATGTTACCTAGTTTGGGCAATGAAATGTTTGCAAGAAAACAACCAAATTCAGGCAGCATCAAGTGTGTGATGACCCGGGGCGTGGCACAAAGGCAACACAGTCACATAAGTAAGAAGAGTCCCTTTAGTACCTCCAATTTGCTCCCAGTGTCAAGGTTATCTTCGGCTGGAGAAAAACTCTCCCAGGAACAGCCTTTAAGTGGAGGAAATTCAGTCCAAAAACAAGTACATACAAACTGTAAATAAAAATCCACACAAACCATGCTACAGTAATTAACTTGACAAGGCAGGATAAGGAATTGCAGACTTGAAAGACCAGCAAAAGACACACAGTTGAGAAGACGCCAGGAACCCAGATAAGCCTCGACAATACCAAATAATTCATGATTTGCTCTCAACAGTTGGCTGTGCGCAACTCCCCTTTTTAAACACTGTGTTCCCAGCTGCAGCTAATGAAGGGAATCAGGGCCCTTTCCTCCCCCGTAAGCCACGCAACTCACGTTGCTCCTTTTTCCTTTCCTCCTTGTGTGCTCTAGGATGAAGGTGGGCCTGGGTCTTCCTCTGAATTCCCTCTGCCTTGCTCTACCTCTCCCCTGCTCTGCCCAGCTGGACTTTACCCTTCCCCTGTTTCTTCCAACAGAGAGCCAAACTCCCACTCCCTGTCAGCTGCTCAGGCCTCCCTCTCAGAATCAGATTCCGACAGGGGCATGACAAAGGGCATCTTCGCTTTCCTTTTGCAGTATTGCATTTCTCTATTAAAGGAAAATGGGCCAACAAACGAAATACATTTTTCCAATGACTAATTTATACGGGTTTTTTTTTTTGTTCCAGGCTTCACCCTTGTGATCTGTCCTCTCATCTCCCTCATGGAGGATCAGCTAATGATGCTGGAACAGCTGGGTGTATCAGCAACTTTACTGAATGCTTCCAGCAGCAAGGTATGGGCTAGGTGCCAAGATGACCAGTTACCAGAGATGTTTTTTTTTTTTTTAAAGGAGCAGCTGTAAGTGAATCAGAGCAATTGTGCTGATTGGAAGGAGTCTTGCCACCAGAATGGCATAGAAAAAGGAATATTACTGAAAAAGATGTATATGTTGATGCTACACAAGCAGCATTGGATTTAACACTTGATTGAAAAGCCAAAGGTGCTTTTCCAAAAGGCAGCTGGACTTGATTGAAAACTTCCAACTTGAGAATGATCTCTTTTTTATCTGGGTGACAAATCAGATTTTACTTTTCTAGCTTCAGTTTCCCAGATAATAGAAAATTCAGAGACGAAAGGTAGACCTTTTGATTTTGATTTGGAATGGTTAGTGCTGAAATCTTTGAACTGTAAATAAGCTTTATGAAGGTAGTTCTCAACTTACAACCCTTTATTTGTAAACCATTGAAAGTTATGATAGTGCTGAAAAGCATCCAATCATTGTATTAATAACATCATATCACTCCTGGTCATGTGATCGCAATGCGGGCACTTGACAACTGGTTCACATTTACTACTGTTGCAGTATCCTGCGGTCACATAGTTGCAATGTGTGAGCTTTTTTTTGCTGATTTCCAGCAATACCTGCTTGGAAGAATGGATTCACACTTAAATGCTGCAGCTTTTGGTTAATGACCATGAATTTGCTTAACAACCATAGTGATTCGATTAACAATCATAAGAAAATGGTGATAAAGTTGGGTCCAACTCAGCTTACAACTGGCAATGACTTAGAACAGAAATTCCAGTCCCGATTATGGTCATAGGTTGAGGACTAAAAGGAATAATTACATAATGGGTAGTGCAGAAAGGCCCTGGATAAAGCAGGAAAGTGGAACACATGACTATTTATTATGCATTGTGATGGATCCCAAACGCCTCAACCAGCATGTTCAATGGTAAGTGGTGTTGACAATTAATAGGAATGAAGGACCACTTCTTTGAAATAGATATTTAAATATAGGCACTTTTTTTGGGGGGGGGGACGGGGACAAGTCAGTATTTATCATACTTGGATGAATATTTGGACTGCTGTTTAACACAGTGTGTTTCAAACTTGGCAATTTTTAAGTGGGGTAGATTTCAATCCATGCTGCCTGAGGAACTCTGGGAGCTGAAGTCCACCCATCTTAAAGTTGCCAAGTTTGAAAAACACTGATTTAACACATTACCAATACATAGTCATATGCATGATGCCCCTAGGTCCAATTTTCTATATCTCACTTGTGAAGAACTGCAACATTAACATTAGAAAATCAATCTTTGGAAACGTCTGAGGTGGCTTTGTGCCAAAACGTGTGTGAGAAACTTGAGTAAGGCCTTGGCATTTTCTAACTGACTTGAACGATCTCCTTTTCTTGCCCCCACAGGAACATGTGAAGTGGGTTCATGCCGAAATGCTGTCTCGCAACTCGCAACTGAAGCTTCTTTATGTGACTCCGGAGAAGATAGCGAAAAGCAAGATGTTTATGTCAAAGCTAGAAAAGGCTTACCAAACAGGACAGCTGACCCGGATTGCCGTCGATGAAGTCCACTGCTGTAGCCAGTGGGGGCATGACTTCAGACCTGGTATATCTACCCAGGACAAACTTAAGGCAAAGAGGGAGAATAGCTATTGTTCTCAAATTGCTGCTCTTCCCCTCTCTGCATGTTATCTTACACATTTTATCTTTCGCTTAGTTGTAGGGGGATTTTTCCACTCAAAAGAAAAACGTTGGCAACATTTTCAGAATTTCCACTGCTTTCTTCTTCCTAGGGCTGAGCAAGAGGGACTAGCCCAAAAGTCAACCAGCTGACTTCATGCTTGAGGCGAGACATGAATTCACAGTCTCCTGATTTCTAGCTTTGTGCCTTAAACCTCTATCAAACTTGGCCTACAATCAGTGATGTAATGCAACATCTCTGCTTTTTTTCTTACACATCCAGATTACAAGTTGCTTGGGATCTTAAAACGGCAGTTTCCCAATGCTCCATTGATTGGATTGACCGCCACTGCGACGGGACATGTGCTGCATGATGCGCAGAACATCCTCTGTGTGTCAAAATGCATCACCTTCACAGCTTCCTTCAACCGACCCAATCTCTATTATGAGGTATTTTTGTTACATTAGTTCCTCACCCCATTTTAAATTACTAAAATCTATCCTAAGTTGCTCCTGTATCTTCTGGAAAAATGTCTAGGACTGCTGGAACTCAAGTCTGGAGATCACTAATTTGTTCTTCATTGTCCTTTCATTGCTCTTTTATTTACTTAGAGAACAGTGTTTTAGAATCTTGGCAACTTCAAAATGTATGGACTTCAATTCCCAGAGTTCTACATACAGGCAGCCTACTGACTGGAGAATTCTGGGAGTTGAAGTCCACCCATCTTAGTTTCTGAAGCTGAAAAGTACTGACTTAGAAAAGATGGCATACCTAATTTTAAATTCACGCAAGGCTTAAATGACTTAAAAGAAGGGGTTTTTGAATGTCTTTTGAAAATTTTAAAATCATTTTAGGTTCGTCAGAAGCCATCATCTGCTCAGAATTGCATTGAGGATATTGTGAAGCTCATCAATGGAAGATACAAAGGCCTTTCAGGTGGACGGTCTAAAGAATCCCTTCTGAGAATACGATAACATCGCTAAGAGATCACCACTGTTAGCCTCTTCTACTGTTAGCCTGTTTGAGTACTGAGGACATGCTCAAAATAGAAAATGTGTATTGTTTTGAATCTAATGAAAGAAGCACATTGCCTTCTGGAAATTAAGCACCTGCTATGGATTTGTGTGTGTGTGTGTGTGTGTGTGTTCTGAGTTTTGCCTGAAACAAAACTTTAAGCAACGTTGGAGTGGTTTTAGGGGACAAATAAGGCAAAGCTGCCCCTCCTATCTTCTTAGCTGTTCTCTCTCCTCTCTCCCATTGGCTGCCACCACCAGTGTTCCACAATAGCAAATCCCACTGCTAGAGAATTCCTGAAAGCCCAGCATGCAAACAAATCAGCCACCAACAGACACATAGACATAAGCAACAACTACACATCATTCAAAAGAGAGAGTCAAAATGCTATAAAGGAAACAAAAAGACCAAAACACCACCTCCACAGCAATCAATAACCAGATGAGCATAGATTAACATCAAGATTAACAATCAAGAAGCAAACAATACCCAATCAAGGAACTGCCAAATAAGCTAACAGTAAACAACAACCCAATCAAGGAACCACCAAGGCCACTTCTATCAACCCTGACAGGGAAAGCCAGTAGTATATAAAATTAGAATGAACCTTCACTCCCTTCTAGCATTGATGATATTACCTAGTTTGGTAATGAAATGTCTGTAAGAAAACAACCAAACCCCAAAGTTCAACCCTGAGCTACAAATTATTCTATCGAAATCCCACTGCCCTGCTTGCCTCCTATCTTCTCAATGTTTTCATCCCTCCCTCCTCTTCTTCCCCTCATCAACTGCTACCACCATTCAAGAAAAAGCCATTTAAAAGTTGGCTTTTTCTTTGTTATTAAGCCTTCCCTACCCACTCCCCAAAGGAAATCCTTCCAGGAACAGCCAACATTTGGCCAATATCAGGAATAAAACAGTCTTATGTATGTTTCAGTTAAAATATAAACCACCCAATACCAACTGTTTGGTTCACCAAACGATTATGCATGAAGCCATATGTCAGCATTCCAGCAAACCTCCACTCCAACCAATAACTCCGAGACAGACATCTTCTCAAAAGTTTATTTTGGATAGTAACTGGCACAACTGGGAAATCCTGAATCGGAAAGTTCCGGGCTTCCTTGCAATAAGTAAAAACTACAAATCCATCCCCTGCACCCATCATCATATCACATGCCCCAATCACCATCCGTCCCAACTTAAGACTTCCCCTCACTTATGTGCAAAATAACATGACCTTGAATGAGAAAAAGAATGTTGTTATGTCTGACTACATACACTCCCAAGAAATTCCCCCCTCCCACTTTCCCAGGCTCAAAATGTGGCAGAGTAGGAGCATTTGGTCTCAATATGGCTTCCAAAGCTGACACCATATTTGTCCCTACTGAATACCACTATGCTAAATGGATTAAATCGGGGGTCTCCAGCCTTTCCGGCTTCATGGTCTGGTGGGGGCAGGGAAAGGGGATGGTTCTTTGTGAGTGGCAGATGCGTGTAGCTCCATTTGTGCAAATGGCGCACATGCCCAGTGCTCACACAAATGGAGCTGCGCTAGCAAGTGGAGCTGTGTGGTCATGCACACTTACACGGCCCAGTTCTGAATGGGCTGAAATCCAATAGTGGGCCATGTCTCCAGTGGTTGGGGGCCCCTGGGTTAAATAACTTTCTCTTTTGCTTCTATTCTGCTACATTAAATAGCCTTACTTATTTTGTTGACACAGGAATTATCTACTGCTTTTCCCAGAAAGATGCTGAGCAAGTTACCATGAGTTTACAAAAACTGGGGATTAAAGCAGGTACTTACCACGCAAATATGGAGCCCAAAGATAAGAGCAGAGTTCACAAGCGATGGTGTGCCAACGAAATCCAGGTGGAGTCTGTGATACAGATGTGTTTTCTATTCAACCGGGATAACTTCATGTCCTGATTTTCGTCGTCTTTACATTTCAGGTTGTAGTGGCCACTGTTGCTTTTGGCATGGGGATTGACAAGCCAGACGTGAGGTTCGTCATACATCATTCCATGAGTAAATCCATGGAAAATTACTACCAAGAGAGCGGGCGCGCAGGTATACTTAAGAGAGAACCTATTCTGGGGAGAGATTTGTGTTTCTTAGCTGTGAGTGAAAATGTATCTTTATTTTTTAACTCATTCCAGGTCGGGATGACCAGAGAGCTGATTGCATCTTATATTACGGCTTTGGTGACATATTCAGAATCAGCACAATGGTAGTGATGGAAAATGTGGGGCAACAGAAACTGTATGGGATGGTTTCCTACTGTCACGATGTGGGAAGGTAAGTGGCTTTCTTCACTGGTGGGACTGACGGATACGTTCCTGTGTTAAAATTACAGGGAGCTCTTGACATATGGGCATGGTTGAGCCCACCAGAGTTTTGGGTTTGCGAGCCATGACAGTTGTAAAGCCAGTTATCATGTGACTGGACCTGATTTTAATATATATATATATATGTATGGTATTCAGCTTTGTTTGGGTATTTTCCCACATCATTATAGTTGTGCTTTTAAAGTTGTAGCTTTAAAAGCATAACTATAATGACGTGGGAAAATACCCGAACAAAGCTGAATACCATACATATAAATACCCGTGAAAACTTAAGAAAACCAATATCTATATCTATATCTATATCTATATCTATATCTATATCTATATC